CATAATCAGTTAGGTACTAATATTGATAGACTTAACCCTTCTCAGCAATACAAGTATCTAAGACATCTCCAAAGGCATCATGATGGAAAATGCTATCCACATAGGAAGAAAGAACTATGGAGTTTGAATGCACATTGAAGCATACTATTTGCTATTTTTTTCTTCTGTTGTGTTTTATTTCCTCTTCCTGGTAGTTCCTCCTATTGGTTCTAATTCTTACAACATCACTAATGTAAAAATATGTTTAATAGGAATGTACATGTATAGTCTATATCAGATTGTGCGCCGTCTTGGGGAGGGAGATGGGGAGGGAGAGGGAAAAATTTAAAACTCAAAAGCTTATGGAAGTGATTGTTGATAAATGAAAACAAATTAATAAAATGTAAAAAAGAGAAAGAAAGAAAGAAAAGTCCACTTCTATATATAGTCCATGATTCAATAGGTGTGACGCACTCCAAATCTGTCACCAAAACTAAATAATTCTTGAAAAAAGAAGAACTTAACCCATGAAAGAGACTGCTGTCATTACACTGCACAGTTTCAAAAAGGCAAATCATGTCACTCTACTTTCCTACTCTTCAAATCTATGCCTAGTTTTTTGTTCAGTATCTGTCTAATACATAAGTGCTAACTGACATACTCCAACTGTATAATTGTATAATTGAAGCCTAAACAACAGATATTCTCCATCTACTAGATTTTTTTGTGGATAGTTAAGCGAGACTCTTGAGAAAATACGGATCCCATTTAGGTGGCTCTGAAATGTTTTGGTGCTTGATGTAATGATGTCGCTCACAAAAAGGTACAGCTGAGAATTTTATAAAGAAATCCCATCAGGACTCTCGTTGGATATCCTCCAGGTTAGTGGCAAAGACCTGGGAAACATTCATCTGTTTTATATGTTGCCTAATGTGAAACACTCACTGTAGAAATTTATTTTTGATGTCAGATCTATCAATGAGTCTTGTGATATGGCCACAAAAACAAGAGAGATTCTTTGTTAGATCAGTCTTCAAAGCTGCAATATGTTTTACTGAATCAAATATTTTCAATAAATCATTGCTGTACCTTCTGTTCTTCTTTTATTCATGCAAGAAAAAGAAGAGATTATATTTGCAAAACTCTGCCTATTTCCTTCACATACCATTAGCAAGGAGAGCGTTAATGTATGTAAATTATTCTCATAAAGGTTTTGTTAAGATGAGAAAAGAAGGACAGCAGTTGGTGATATATTCTTGGTAACTTGTTTTCAGAATAATAAAGTCCATAATCATTTTATCAAGCATTTGTATTTTTCTTTCTTTCAGATACTTTGAAAATCAATCCTTTAGCGTCTTTAACCTGTGTCACTCTAGGATAAATATATCTGAAGTTCTGCCTATCATGTGTTCTCTTTCGTGTCATTTCACTTGGAATCATGGGAAAGAAAAGTGTCTGTTAAATCTCACAGAGACTGTTATTTTTGTTCATTTATTACATGCTTTTCAATTTAATTGCTAGAAGCCTTTATGATGGTCCTTCGTGTGATTTAGTTTATTCATTTGTTTTTCCCACTGAACTTTCTAGAAACATTAGCTTACGTATTACCTAAGAAGCTCTATGTTTTAGAAAGTAAAATACAGGAAAAAATATATCCTATATTAATGTACATTATATATAAATACACAACAGAAATGAAGTTTTGTTACTTTTAAGCTCAAAGAATGTGGAATAATCTAATAAGGTCTAAGCAAAATGGTATTCTAATCCTTTTAAAAATTAACAGGCTAAATAATTTCATTAATAGATGCTGGGTAAATAAATACTACTAAGGGTATTAAAATATTAACATTTAAAAAATCTTTAATTAAATCTTTACACAACTTACATAGAAAATAAATCTGTTTTTTAAATTGAAGGTCAAAGTATACCCTACTCAATCTCAATGATCTAAACTACAGACTTAGTAGGTTCTGAAATGATGAAATCTTAATGTAAACTGTAATGTGACTTTACATTTTGTCAATAATAAACCCACTGCTTCACCTGCCAAGAAATTCACCTAACCCTAAGTAAATAGCTGATATCATATTACCAATATTTTTTGATCCTTACATAAATACAAAAGTTTACTTCTACATTAGACTCACTTTTTTCTTTTTTTACCATCACAGATGAAATGCTGGCCAGCTCATCCTTATGCCCTTCACCACCACCTCTGGATCTTGAATTCCATACTTTAATTACTTCTGCATCCTCATGTCCACCTGAGCTAGTTCTTTTTTTCCCTTTGAACTTTTTTTTCCTAGAAAAGATTATGAATTTAAAAAAAATTTGAATCTGTAATATAGGGCTAATTATAAAGTAAACCAAAAAAATTTCTCATGTAAAATTACAGAAATGTTCCTATATTTCCTTCCAGGTTTAAATGCTAGATTTTTCCATGATCCTATCAAAAAAAAAGTTTGGCTTATTTAACATTACATCATCCCAAATAAGCAGGGCAGCCTTTTTAGAAAAATTAAGTTTAAAATGAATATTTAAATTTAAAATAAATATTTTTCTGGTAAAATACTGATATTTTAATTCAGAAAATATATATTTCTGGAAAATGCACAAATTTTAGCTTTGTAAAGGACTTAAATGGGGCACTGCTCATTTTACAGAAAATTTAAACTTTAATACAATATTTTATAGATTCAAAAGAACATAGTTGAAAAATGTTAAAAAGTTTAAAAATATTAAGTCATTATTACTACTCTTCTGTAAGTTCTCTGATTTCCTTCAATTGTTAATTTTTAAAATTCCAAGAAAAATAAGGAGACTAGAAAAACAAAAAAGGAAACAATCAAGATATCTTCAACTTCTAAGTGCAAATTCTATGATCTATATGCATATGAGTATCAGTATATATAAATGTATATATGTGTATGTATGCATATGTACATACATATATTATGTGTATAATACATGACAATTTTGAACTATAATAGTGAGAATATACACATATGCGGATCTTCTTTCCTAACTAATAAATGTTAGAGCAAAATTTAATATGATAAGCTATTACATGAAAATGATAGCTATTTTTAATTTTATTACATTACTATTACTATTTATGGAAGTTTGAAATGAAAAAATACACAGCATATTTATACAAAGAAAGATTCTATTTACTTAGGATAATCATCTGAACTTAAACTCAGTGAGGTTTCATCAGAATCTGATGGTATGAATTCATTCATCCTGTCTTCCTCAAAATACCCCTGAAAAAAAAAAATAATTAAAAAAATTTGCTAATCATTACATTTATCAAAAATGTTAAAAGATTTTTTTTTTTTGCTTATTTCTCTTAGTGTAAAGTGCTTAAGGCCTTTGCATTAGTTTCAGTCTCTAACCCCCATCTACATAAGGGACAGTATAGATTATGGGCCGTGGAATCAGGAAGTATTCATTCTACACTATACCTTCAACACTTAGGATCATTGAATAAGAGCTAAAAAGATCCTTAGACATCATTTAGTCTAAACTCAGACTTTCGAAAAATCATACAAGTGGCAACTCCAAAATTTGAAAAGACATGGTTGCTGTGCTTTACCGCAATACCACGCTTCCATTCTCCAATGTGTAATCCTGTGCAATTAACTTAATGTCTGTGAACTTCAGTTTTCTTCTGTAAGATGGGAGCAATCATATCAGTGGCACTAATCTCGTAAGAGCTAGTCTAAGTTTAAAACGGTGGTCATACATGTGCAGTAATGTATGTGTGCTCTGCAAACCATAAGTTGTCATATAAATATTACTACTAGTACTTCATGCATAATTACACTGCATTAACTGTACTTCTTATACTTCCTAAAAATTAGAAGATATTATTTGCTATGTTCTGATAACCTGTGTAAAGAAGGGATTAGTACTATCTGACTTTTTTACCCAAGCCCCAGACAAGACTAATACCATAAAATGCAATCAAGTTTTAATGCATTAGCAAGTAGACTAGCTGAACAACCTGCTCCTGTATGGGGGATTTATTATATGAATATCGGAATTTTTAACTTACTTGGGCAACATTTGTTCTTCCCTACATGTGTCTCATTACCATTGCAACCAGATTTGAGCCTACTCTGTAACCATCACTATGCGTAAAATATGGCCCTGGAATTGTAGAGGGTTATTTGTTTTAATTACTATGCTATACCATCATAGCAAATGGCTTTCCTACAACTATGTTGGCTGACTGTTAATAATAAACACTATGTAGAGGCTCAACTCTAAAATGTAAGCACAAGCTGAGGAAACAGCCCAACAAATAAAAAGTATTACAGGTAAGGAGTAAGCTGATGAAAATAAACTTTGCATAACCCCTACTTTTCAAATGATTATTCACAAGAAATATTCTAAAATGTTTAGAGAAACTTGGGAGAACTAAACTGAGTGATATAAGAACAATTTATACAAAGAGGTAAATTAGACAACTTTGGAAGACTTAAAAATCCTGATCAATGCAATAGCCAGCTCTTAACTCCACAAATCTCATAATGAATTATACTGAAATGTACTAAAACTATACTGCCCTCTTTTTCAAATAGATGTTGGACTATGGTGCAGAAATAACATTTATGCATGTAGATTCGCAGTCAAATATTACACAGTTGAAGAAGTAACATGCTAGTAACTTGGGAATAAAGACTTTGAATATAAGGTTTTGAAAGGAAGAAGTGAGGATTTTTGTGGATGAAATCAGTACATTCTAGACATGTGTATGCAGTGCAAAAGTACAGGGGTTAAAGATGTAATGGTAAGAAAGAAGACTTTCTTGAAACTCAGTGTGTATAAGAATTATAATATATGAACATGGAAAATACATTAGACTTGTTTATAAGGAATTTAAACATCAAATAGTGTAGTATACATTTGATTCTAGGGAAAACAGAGAACTACTTGAGTTTCATGAATGGGGCAGTAATTTAGTTAGACATATTGTTAGGTAAAATACGATATTGGTGATGATGGCCTGAATTGAAATGTTAAATGTAAAAGGTATTTGGAATGCAGATATGCCAACATTTGACATCTACATAGTATGGAGGATAATTAAGAGCTAAAGTTGATGCCAGTGTTACCTGGAAACCAAAAGTAAAAATATTGATACTTTCAATAGTGGCAGTCCAAAAAAAGTAAGACTGGTTTCAGACATGATGAATTTGAAAAATTTCCAGGTTAATTAGTATCAAAAGTCCAGTAGGCAACTGGTGATACTGAAAACTCAGAAGTGAGACTAATATGGGAAACAGGTAATCAAGAGTCTTGGGCAACACTACAGAAGGGTCACAAAGATTGAAGTTTAAGAAAAGACCATTAAGTTTGACAATTAAGAGACTTAGTAATTTCATAGAAAGAAGTTTTGGCTGAATAGTGAAAGACCAGATTATACAGAGTTAAGAAAAGTTAGCAAGAAGGTAGGAAGGACCTATTGTAGGCAGCTCTCTCGAGAAATTTTGCTGCGAAAGGAAAGGATGTGACAATACCTGGCAGGAATAGATAGATCAGGCACATTTTTTGAGAATGGGGAAACACAGACATGTTTATATGGAATAGGAAAGCATCAGGAGACAGGGAGAGAATGAAGATCATTAAAAGAGTGAGGATGACGTTGTTTCTAATTCTTCTTTACAACATGACTAATGTGAAAATAGGTTCAATATAAATGTATAAGCCTCTATCAAACTGCACAGTGTCTTGGGGAGGAGAGGGAGAGAGGAAGAAAATTTGGAACTCAAAATGCTGAAAACTATAAATAAATAGTGAGGATGATACAGGGAGAAACACTGGAGAAAATGAGTTGGAATGAAATCAGACTACTAAATAGATACTTAAGTATGAATATCTAATTTACCTTGTTTTCTTTGCTAATATAGTCCAGCTGTAAGCACCATGGATGAGTCCAAATTCTGCTTAATATTTGAAAATCCTGGAAGAGTTTTGTTCCTGCTTTTCCTCTTCCTCCTTCTCTAGTACTTCCTGTTCCTGATAATAAAAGGCATGTAAGTTAAAGTTTAAAATGTTCAAATTTTTTCACTAGAGAAAGTCATGAATACCACGGTCTAGAGTTTCAACAAGAATCTAAATATATCATAAATGTTTAATAGATTTGGAGGGAGGTAAAACTATTGACATTAAAAAGATCTTATTACTTGTGACTCAATACTTATTAGAGAAATATATCAAATACAAGACAAGGGTTGCCTATACAGGAAAAGTTGATAAAAGTTTAGGAGTAGGAAAAACAGCAGATGCACAACTGTGTCTAGATCAAGGTTAGAACCTGGAAAATCTAATTGTGAGATGACTCTAGAATACTAGAACGTTTTTATTTGGAATCATTAATTCACTTTACAATTTTTTTCTTTATGATTACATAACTTATTTAATACCATTCTTTCTAAACACTTCCCACCCTTTTACCAGCAATGGCTTTCATTACTATTTTTCACAATTACTGATTTAGGTACAACTTCCTTTCCTCTGTTACTTTTTCTCATACTTTGATCTTTACGAATAAAACGTAAATCCACACTACTATATCTTGGCTAGCTATCATCATCATTATCATTGTCATCGCTAGTATTTATATAAAATCTACTATATTCAACACATTGTGCTGAGCACTTTACAAATATCTCATCTGATCCTCAAAACAACTCTAGGAAATAACTTATTATGCACATTTTGCAGATAAGGAAATTAAGGAAGTCAAGCTAAGTGACTTGCCCAGAGTCACAAAGAGAGTAACTATTTAATGCTGGATTTGAACTCAGGTCTTCCTGTCTGTAGGCCCAGCATTCCACCTAGCTCTGCTGAATTCTTATGCCCCAGTGTGATGCCCCAGTAATGGACATTTAGAACTAGTTAGCCTATAAACTGAATATTACCACAACACAGAACCCACCTATCCTCAGCTTTCCTATCACTTATGTGCAACCTTGGTGTCAATTCTCAATTCCTACTCATATATTCCACATGCACAATCACCTTCTAAATCATTTTCACTTCTCTCCAATCTCTTCTATTCTTTTAAACTACATAGATAAATCTCTTATCATCTTTTATAGCCTTTCAATTGGTCTTACCATTTTACATCTCACCATTCCAATTCAATCTTCACCGAATAGATTATGTATTTGTCATTTGAGAGGTTTTCATAATATCAAATCTATTAATAATAAATTGTTATTTTCTTGTTACATTTAAGTTCCAAACTGTCTCCTTCCCTCCTTCCTACTCTGCACTAGAGAAGGACACCATTTGATAGATTTATAAACATATGTAAAACTATACTATACATACTATTATTTGTTACTTCTTACTCCTTCATAGGTCCTCTGTAGTTGATTTGAGTGTTTAACAGTTAACAGCCACGTTGTGCGATGACTAATATTGATAGACTTAGCCCTTCTCATCAGTGCAAGGATCTAAGACATCTCCAAAGGCCTCGTGATGGAAAGTGCTATCCACATCCAAAGAAAGAACTATGGAGTTTGATGCAGATTGAAGCATACTATTTGCTATTTTTTTCTTTCTGTTGTGTTTTGTTTCCTCTTTCTGGTGGTTCTTCCTATTGGTTCTAATTATTCCTTATAACATCACTAGTGTGAAAATATGTTTAATAGGAATATATATGTATAGCCTATATCAAACTGCACGCCATCTCGGGGAAGGAGGTGAAGAGGGAGGGGGAGAAAAATTTAAAACTCAAAAGCTTATGGAAGTGATTGTTAAAAATCAAAATAAATTTAAAAAGAGATATTTTCTTCATCTATTAATATAATCAAGCTGAGATATTCCTGATTCACAGTCCATCACTATAAGAGAAAAGTGCTGGAAGAAAAAGAGGAGAGTCTAGGACAGCAATATGGAGAATAACAACAATTAGGGAAATGATGAATCAACAAAGTAGTATAGTCAGAAGGATAGGGGAAATAGCAAGAAAGGTAATAAGAGAATTAGGCATAGAAGAATCATGACAGAGTCCCATGAAAGGTAAAAAAAGAAAAAAGAGAGAAAATAATTAGAAGGAGGGAGTAATTAAGTGGTAAAAATTTTCAGAATCAAGAAAGTAGAAACCATTGATGAAGCTATGTAACTGCAGGTGAGATAAATTGTCAATCAATAAACATTTATTAAACACCTATTATTTGCTAGGTATTATGCTAAGAACTAAGAATGCAAAGAAAGGTAAAAGACATCCTTTCTCTCAAAAACTTGTAGTCTAAAGGCAGAAGTAACTTGCAAATAATTTATATATTGGAAAAATTTGAAAATAATGACTAGTGGGAAGGCAGTAGAAATTAAGAAGGATCAGGAAAGGTCTCTTGTGGGAGGTGAGATTTTAGGAGGGATTTGAAGAAAACTAGGGTTATAGATGCAGAAAGCATGCCAAACCTGGAGAACACAGAGAGAAAATGCCAAGAGTCAGAAGAATGAATGTACTGACCAAAGAACAGGCCGATGTTAATGACTGAAGAGCACAGGGAGGGGACTGACAAACTGAATGATTAGAGAGGCCAGGTTATAAAAGGCTTTAAATATCAAATTATAAAGAATTTGGGGGAAAAAAGAACTCCAAGATTTATATATGTAAAGGGAAATAATTAAGGCCACAAGGAAAAAATGCAAAATGACAATTTAAAATATGTGATCACTAAAAGATGTCAAACTCTGCAATTTTAAAAATAAAATAATCATTTTAGAGACTAGATAATGGCACATATATCTCCTTTAGTCTATGAAAAAAATAGACTATAGGAATTAAGACACAATGTTGCATACGTTATCAGTAGGTTTTGCTTAAATATCTTCTTCGTCATTTGAGAGGTTTTCACTTTTTGTGAATCTTCAATAACTTTTATTAATTTCTACTATTTTCATATTTTGATATAAGTATGCCTCTGGTAAAAATATGCCATGATAGCCAGGTCCAAAATTTCCTTACTCGTTTATCTATATGAATACTCTACAACACATTTTAGGATTCTAGTAGAGTAACATTTCCCTAACGATTAAACATATGAAATGTTTAATAACTCCAGATACAGTATATATTCACAATCAGAAAACCTACCTTTCTTTACCTGAATTTTGTTAGCACTTTAATAAATTCCCCTTTTTCTACCAATTTATTTCTGAAAATTTTTTTATCAGAATATCCTGTGTCTGTTTTCTAGGGAAAATTATTAATTATTAAAAACAAATCTTGTTTTTCTATCAGTACAAGGTCTATAGTTGTGATAATTTTTGAAACAGAATCTTTTTTAAAATAAAGATTTAAAATATTTTTAAAGCCCTTGTTTGTGGAATACTTCTGAACTGCCTATATAGTTGCAAACAGGTTATAACCATTATAGTCTACCAAGTGTTTCCTAGTTTACCTTTCTTTCCAAAAGTTTTACACAAAAACTGTCATCAAATCCCTTATGTTAACTTCATCATTACTACAAAATACAGTCAGATTATAGTCACAATGTGTTATTTCAGAATGATTTCTAAATACAAAAGACGTTAAATTTTTCTTACTGGGAGCTTGCTTCATTCTGTACTTATTTTGCACTATTCTTAAAATGAGGATGGTATGAGATACGACCAAATATTTTTTTAATTTTATTAATTTATTTTGATTTATAAGAATCACTTCCACATGCTTTTGAGTTGAAAATTTTTCTCCCCTTCCTCCCCCCACTCTCCCCAATGGCGCACAATCTGATACAGGCTGTACATTTACATACCCATTAAACATATTTTCACATTAGTGAAGTTGTAAGTAAAAATTAAAACCAATAGGAAGAACTATCAGAAAAATGAAACAAAACTCAACAGAAAGTAAAAATAAGTGGTAGCGATTCAACTTCTGTAGTTCTTTCTTTGATGTGGACAGCATTTTCCATCCCAAGGTTCTGGAGATGTCTTAGTTCCTCATAATGCTGAAAGGTTCAGTTTAACAATCTTAGTCACTGCATAACGTGGCTGTTATTGTGTACAAAGTCCTCTTGGTTCTGCTCACTTCACTCAGCATCAGACCATATAAGTCTTTCCAGGTTTTTCTGAAGTCAGCCTGTTCATCATTTCTTATAGCACAATAGTATTCCATTACATTCATATACCACAACTTGCTCAGCCATTCCCAATGGATGGGCATCCTCTCAATTTCCAATTCTTTGCCACCACAAAAAGAGCTGCTATGAATATTTTTGTACATGTGGGTCTTTTCCCACTTGTTTGATCTCTTTGGGATATAGCCCTAGAAGTGCTATTGCTGGATCAAAGGGTATGCACAGTTTTGTAGCCTTTGGGGCATAGTTCCAAATTGTTCTCCAAAATACTTGGATCATTTCACAACTCCACCAACAATGTATTAGTGTTCCCATTTTCCCACATCTCCAACATTTATGATTTTCCTGTTTTGTCGTGTTGGTCAATCTGATACATGTGATGTGGTACCTCAGAGTTGTTTTGATTTGCATTTCTCTAATCAATAACGATTTAGAGCATCCTCTGACCATTTATCAATTGGGGAATGGCTTGTGTTCTTATAAATTTGTCTTAATTCTCTATATATTTTAGAAATGGGGCCTTTATCATAGAAACTGGTTGTAAAAATTCTTTCCCAATTTTCTACCTTCCTTCTAATTTTAGTTGCATTGGCTTTGTTTGTGCAAAAACTTTTCAATTTAATGTAATCAAAATTATCCATTTTGCTTTTCTAATGTTCTCTATCTCCTGTTTGGTCATGAATTCTTCTGTTCTCCATAGATCTGATAGGTAAACTATTCCTTGTTCTCCCAGTTTACTTATGGTATCAGCCTTTATATCTAAGTCATGAACCATTTTGACTTTATTTTGGTAATGTGAGATTTGGGTCTATGCCTAGTTTCTGCCATACTCTTTTCCAGTTTTCCCAGCAGTTTTTTTCAAAGAGTGGGTTCTTATCCCAGAAGCTGGGGTCTTTGGGTTTATCAAATAATAGATTACTA